TCTATCTATCTATCTATCTATCTATCTATCTATCTATCTATCTATCTCCTATCTACCTATCTCCAAATATGTGGCTGAGGAAATGGTTCAGTTCAACTGGAGTTCAGATACTAAGAACCCATGCAGAAGTCAGGAGGTCACAGCAGCCTGACTGTAATCTCTGTATACAGGAGCTGGAGACCCTCAGAGCGCCAGGCTCAGCAGGTGACCCTGACACCATATGTAAAGTGAAGAGCCATCAAGAAAGGCATCCAAGGCCAGGCAGTAGTGATGCTCACCTTTTATCCCAGCACTTGGGAGGCAGAAGCAGACGGATCTCTGTGAATCTGCGGCCAGCTTGGTCTACGGAGCCAGTTCCAGGACAGTTCCAAAGCTACACAGAGAAACCCTATCTGGAGAAACAAAAACAAAACAAAACAAGCAAAAAAACCGAAAAAACAAAAAACAAACAAACAAAAAAACCTCCAACAGCAAACAGACATCCAGCATCAAGTGCAGGCCTCCACACATGTGTACATTGACTCCTCATTCAAGCACCAGCACACACGAACTCACATATACACACATGCATACCACAGACATATGCATAGATAAATAGCAACTGAGATACTTGCACATCTATGTTCATAGCAGCACCATTGCATTAGCCCAAAGGTAGAAACAGCCCAAGCGCCTATCAATTAATGAGTGAATGAACAAAGTGTATCTATACAATGGAATATTAGCGGGCATAAAAAAGAATTAGGTTCACTTACATGCTCTAACAAGAATAAACCCTTGAAAACATTACACTCAATGGAATATGCCAGGCACAATAGAAAAGCATATTGTACAGTATTGTTTATATGAGCTGTTGAGAAGGAAAAAAATCTGTAGCAAGAGAAAGTGGACTAGAGGTTGCCAGAGCCAGGGGCTGAGATGGACAAGGAAGCGGGAAGGACATACTGCTCAGTGAAGACAGTGTTTCTGTTTACGGTGCTGGAAAAGAAATTGAGAAATTAATAGAATATAGTGATAGTTGCCTAACATCATGAATGTGATTAATAGAATATAGTGATAATTGCCTAACATCATGAATGTGATTAGTAGAATATAGTGATAGTTGCCTAACATCATGAATGTGGTTAACGACCTTGAAGTACACACTTCAAAGTCATTAAAATGAGAGGCCAAGGAGATGACTCCGCAGGTAAAAGTTCTAGAACCAGCCTGGTGACCTGAGTTTGATCCCTGGAGCCCAGGTGGAAAGCCCAGATGCAGTGGTGCGCACCTATAGTCCTGGCACGCCTGTGACAAGGTGCAGCTGGGCAGAGACAGGCCAGCTAGCCTGAGGCGTAGAGGAAGAACCAAGAGAGACCCTACTTCCCACAAAGTCAAAGGAGAAAGCCAGTTCCCGAAAGCTGTCTAGACACAGCCGAAAGCCAGAATACAGTTGCAAAGGTTCGTGAAAGCTGTAAAGGGGGGGGGGGGGTGTGTTAAGATAAACAGAAGTTAGAAGAAAACAAAACAACAACAACAACAAAAAAAAAAAAAACAACAACAAAGTAGCTAGAGTCCATCTGTCAATGGACTTCTCTTTCCCAAGCATTCCAGAAAGCACTATAATCCATTCTCTTCCTGCTCCGGCTTCTCTATGGAAGGAAGGAGTTTGCTTCTAACATGCTGGTGGCTGTGTTTCAAGATCTCACCATCTGTGTTCGGGGCAAAGGTTTCAGCCTTGTTTGGCTGAGGCCCCTCGGGGCCAACATGCCTGACAGGGCATGAGCTCCTAGAAGCAAGTTCACTTGCAGATAGCACCCCAGCCTAGAGGAAGAGATTTAACATGAGGTCACCTTTTCTGCCTCTTCCAGGCTGACTCCTCCCACCAGGTTACCTTTGGCTTCTGCTACTTACTGCCTAGGAGCTCTGGAGGGACGCGAGTCTTCTAAGACCCAACCCCACCACCGGCAGCCCCCAGCTCCTGCTTACTGTCATGGGGAGGGGGCGGGGAGTCTACTTTTCTGGAACCGTTTTGGGGAGCCCAAAGCTGACAGAGGCAGCAGAAGCAGGCAGGAGGGCAATAAAGAAGTTTCCAGATCCGCAGGGGACTGTAATCACATTCCCCAACCAGGTGCTGGGAGTAGGGCTAGAGTCAAGCCAACCTTCTTGGCTGAAGGCCAACACTTCCAGGCCTCCTTCCACTCTGCCGCTGCTGCTTGCCGGCGTCTTCCCAACCAGAAGCTTGTTAACTGTTTGCCTGGGCTCTTTTTCCAATTTCAAGGCCCCCTCCGTGTGTTAAACTTCAAAGAAACTTTGTCGCCCCAAGTGCAGTGTTATATAACAAGTTGGACACTCCGCACGCCTCTGTTGAAAGTGGTTTGTTCAAATGAAGGGGCCTGGACACTTAGTTATTCCCCGCCCCCCTTCAGTCCAATAAAATTGCCTTGGTGTCTGGATTAAGTTGCTGGATATCCATCCTGAAAGTTTTAAAGATGAAAAGCAGAACCGCCTCACTAATAGTTAAAATGTAAAATGATTACAGACTGGCACCTGGCCAATATTTATGAATCGTTGAATATGATCATAAAATCATAAAAAATAATCACCAAAAGGTAAATAAATTACCCGGCTTACTGCTTATTTTCACGTAGGGCCTGACACAGAAGCTGTAGCCATGAATGATTTATACCTGTTTTAACAATAATACTCATTTTACTGAAAGATGGTCAGCACTTGGGCTGCCATGGGCACCATGCCAGTTGTCAAAAGGCTGATGTTTCAGCAACAATACATTAAATTATGAATAATACTGGTCCCAAAATGGAAGGTTATTAGCTCAGTATGCTTAATTAGCCCAGCTAGAACTTGGCTATCAAGTAGCCATGCCCATTTCCAGGGCTGGAGCTATGATGGGGGATGGGGGTGATGCTAATGGCTCCGAGAGAGGGAGGCGGCGTGTGGGCGTGTCTTTTACTTTCGCTTCATCCCTGAACACTAGAAGAGGCAACTCAGAAGGCTGCCTTTTGGAATTTTGAACCTTCCTGTCGGGTCTCTTGCAAACACTTCTTAGAGGGAAAGAGAAAACGTGGTTGGGGAGGAGCTTGGTGCTCAGTCTGGTGGCCCCAGCTGTGGTCTCATTCCCCAGTTCTTGGTCGCCACTTAGCCCGGGTCCTGCCAAAGTCACGTGCAGGTGGGGCCATGGGGCGATCACCAACCCTCCTTTCAGAGAGGTATTTACTGAACAGTCACAATGGTACAAATGAGGTAGCAGACTGAGCAGCCACCAAGCTAACCAATTATGCAGTTTTGCATTAGTTACAGTCTCATGGCTCCAAGGAAGAATGAGTTTAGAATGTTCGTACCTGGCCTGGAGTTGGGATTTGAATTCCTAGAGCAGGCTGCTATCTGTTCTGTCTTCCGTTTTTTGAGACGGAGCCTTATGTATCCCAAGCTAGCGCCAACCTTGCTATCGCTATGTAAGCCAAAGAGCACCTGGAACTTCTGATCCTCCTGTCTCTGCCTCCCTAGTGCTGGGATCACAGGCACCTGTCACTGCACCTGTTTATGCCATGCTTGGGATTGAACCTGGGGCTTTGTGTATCCTAGGCGAGGACTCTAACACACGAGGTACATCCCAAACCCCTTGTTTTGCCTTAAATAGAGGAGGTGATGTAGAAATCATTCCATGTAGCCAGAAAGAACGGTCCAAGAGAAAGGTTAGATTTCGTAAGAGGAGTCGACAGGCACTTACCTGTAAGGGTCACAAGGAAGGTACTGAGTGCCTCGCATGTGTCATGGGTACCCGTGTTTGTGTGTCCTCACATGTGTCTACATTGAACCCCACACCTAGCTCTGTCCTCCACCCTGCTTTGGCGTTCTTCTGCCATGTGCTCCGGTAACCCTCCTCCACGTCTGCAGCCAGGATGTGCCCATGCAGTGCCTGCTCGATCTGCCAGGGCAACACTGTCTGCACCACTGGCCGGCTATACTTAGTACTGTTAGTAGCTTGTTTGTCCAAGCTCTGAAATTCATTTTCTTTTCCCGCCTTGCTTCCAGAAAAATAAATAAAAGTGAACACATCACTCATTTAAGACGAGGAATGGAATTTAGGTTGCGTTTTTCTTTCTATTTTTATGATTAGTTAGAATTTTCCCGGGAACGCCGCCAGGAGGGCATTACTATGAGACAATGTCCCGTATTTAATCAGAACTGCAATGGCGAACAGTGTTCGATGGAGAGAGGCTGAACTAACGCATCCTTTTTGTCTTGTCTGCTTTCAAGAGATCACCAACTACTTGGCCCAAGATGAAGATGAAGATGAGGCTGAGTGATGAGAGAAACGACCGGGCTCCAGGCTGGCGCGGTGGCCTGCAGGTTGACAGGGCACAACTGTGACTCTGTCTGCCCACCCAGGACCTGTCAACCCCACGAGCCCCAAGAATCCCCGGAAGAAACTGAGTGCAAAGGGCCCCCAAACTGACCACGGAGATCAGCTGTAGCTCTGCAGCCACTGGGCACTTCCAGCATCTTCTGCTGCAACTTTCTGACATCTGCGGGCCTGGGTACACTTCTGGTTTCCAAGTGCACATCTGGCCCTCCTGGTAAACCAGTCACAATGGGCAAGGCGAAGCACAAGGTCGCTAAGGGAACTTGGAAGTGAGTACCAGGTAGGCCAGATCATCTCTTCCACTCTCTGTGCTTGTGTGCCATCATCTGAGAGCCCCTGGGGTAGGAGCGGCTGGCTGGCTGCGAGCTGCCCTGGTCGTGCTGTCAGAGTTTTTTGTTCCACTGCTGCCTCCTGAAAGGAGATGCCTGGAAGTGGTAAAATAGTAAGGGATATCTTAGAGAGATGTCCTAGAGAGATGTCTGAAAAGAAGGAAGACGACAAGGGCCCAAGAACAAAGGAGAAGGGCTTTAACCTGCAGGAAGGTAGCCGGAGACTAAGTGGATGGCTGTGGTTCAGCCTTTCCCTGCAAAGAGCAGGGTGGTCAGGGAAGCAAGAGCGAGAGGGTCCACAAAGCCTCACAGATTTACTGTTGTCCCCATTAAACTCCCAGTCTGCAGGAGCCGTCTGTTCAGGTAAAGGCAGTGGAGAGAACAGGATGCCCCAAGCAACCCATAAATAGCAGGGTGAAGACAAAGTGTTTATTACTTAGCCTTATGAAGCCCATATAAGTGCTCTCCCAGGGTGCGCGAGTGCAGGAGCGTGTGCACGCCATTGGCCCACATGTGTGTCCCTGGAGCGGGAGACCCAGACACAGTGTTCGCGCTTGGCTTGACTCTATGAAGGCATCCATTTGATGGAATGTACCGGAACAGTTCACAGTCAGCCCAGCAAAACCTTGTCGGGAGACAGCTTGCTTTTTTCTCTTTCCTTTTCCTGTTTGCTGTGAGAACAGGGCCTTTCTCTTCTGGGCTCTTTGGGCTCCCCAAAGTTGTCTCACGAGGTCATTGCCAGATGAGAAGCTTCCTTTCAGTGCAAGATTGGATGGAAACAATACTCTGCTTTCGGGGCGGGTGGGGTGGGGGAGGGGGGCTGGGACGATTCTGGGCCAGACTAACCTGCTCTAAATTTAAATGGGCTATTGTTTTAATAAGACTGATGGTTTCTTTAGACAGTTGGGGCTATGTGATACAAGACTTCATCCTCTGTGTGTGTGTGTGTGTGTGTGTGTGCGCGCGTGCATACATGTGTGATGCTTTTTCAATACAGAATATCAGAAAGATGGGTCTAAAAAATTGTTTGGTTTTTTTTGCTTGGTTGTGTGTGTGTGTGTGTGTGTGTGTGTGTGTGTGTGTGTGTGTTGTTTTTCAAGACAGGGTTTTTTGGTATAACATCCCTGGATGTCCTGGAACTCATTCTGTAGACCAGGCTGGCCGTGAACTAACAGAGATCTGCCTGCCTCTGCTTCCTGAGTGCTAGGATTAAAGGCATGCGACACTGACTGGCTCATTGTTGGGTTTTAAGCTAGGTTGCATCATTCACTTAGCCTGTGTTTTCTGACACATTGCTAAGTGACTTACCCCTCTCATCTGGACATTAATATCCTTAATTCAGACTTACCTATCTGTATGATACTTTCTTGGTCATGAGGATATAGCTCAGCTGGTATAGTGCCTACCTAGCATGCCAGAAAGGCTGGGTTCAATCCTCACCACCACCACCTAAACCAGACATGGTAAACCAAGCCTGTAACCTTGTACCCAGGAAGTGCAAGCAGGAATCAGATGATCAAAGTCGTCCTTAGCTAAACAATGAGCTTAAGACAAGTCTAGATCACATGAAATGTATACAAAAGATACTTTCTGAGGTCACATTTAAAAAAATTACCTCCTGGGACTGGAGAAATGGCTCAGCGGTTAAAGCACTGGGTGCTCTTCCAGAGGATCCAGGTTCAATTCCCAGCACCCACATGGCAGCTCATTGCTGCCTGTGACTCCAGTTTCAGGGGATCTGATATCTTCATATAGACATACATGCAGGCAATACATGCATGCACATGAAATTAAAATAAATTAATTTTAAAAATATACCTTCTTCATCATATAGTCCTTTGAATCTGATTAAAATACACTGCATGCACATGTTCACGAACAAACTTCAACACGCTTGGCTTGAATAGCTTTCATATGGACGAGATCAGTTCTGTGAGAGAGTAAGGGTTAAGGATGTGTTCTGAGCATCCTACTGAATGTCTTGAAAGACTGGATTTATTGGTTTGCTATAGAGAGTAGAAAGTAGAAAAGACCCACGCAGTAGAAAGAGAAAAGAACAATGTCGTTCTAGCACCTTTGAGAAGTCCTCATAGACATGCATAGACAGCCATGGTCATCTCTGTGGTCATTGGACAACATTTTTAAAACTAAACCACTCTAGGGCTGGAGAGATGGCTCAGTGGTTAAGAGCATTGCCTGCTCTTCAACAGGTCCTGAGTTCAATTCCCAGCAACCACATGGTAGCTCACAACCATCTGTAACGAGGTCTGGTGCTCTTTTCTGGCCTGCAGGCATACATGCAGACAGAATTATGTATACATGATAAATAAATAAATATTTTTTTTAAAAAAATTAAACCACTCTATCCAAAGCTACTCACCATCATTTCGGAATGAGAACCCAGGTCTGCAAACTCCTGAGAGCAATGAGGATCACCAAACAGATGGAAGCAAGTTACCAAACTGAGGCTCACTATTCTGGATCCTAATTTTCAAAAACTGTAAGGTCATGTTTCAGGCCTCCAGTTGGGGTGACTAGTAAGATGATGGCGCTCAGCAAGGCCCAGCGTCTGGAATTCCGAGAGCCCTCTGGAATAGCTGGCTGGCCCTGCAAAACCGTGGCCCATGTGGCACTGTGTGCTGGCCTGCCAGGAAGGTATGCCTCTAACTGATCCAAGAAAGAGGGATTCCCTGGAGTTCTGTCAATAAGAGCATCAGGAGTCAGCCTCGGGCCACTGAAGACCTTCGCCAGCTCCTTTGTAGTTCTCCATGAGGTGGGCTGTCCGCAAAGACGGAATGGCCAGGATCTTTGTCTTTTTCTTGAAGCAGAATTTTAATGGTCCCGGCTGCCTCCAACTTGTGATCCTCCCCCATGAGTCTTGGGGTGGCAGGCATGTGCCAACAAAACCCTACTCCCAGAGTCCTTTTCAAAGGGCTTGGCACTGCTCTCCGCCTGGTGGGTGGTCTTCACTGCTTCTTTATCCTCCCCTGTACCCTTCCTCCCTTCTTCCCTGAATTCATTTCTCCTATACACACTTATTGAATGCAGTGCTTCATGAGAGCACTGTGCCAGACACACAGCACAGTACATGCATGTGTGTTCATATGTGCATATGTATAAACACATGCATAAACACACATCCATGCACCTGTGTATATGTGTTTTCATATATACAGGTGCATACACCTAAAAAAATTTCCTGAGTCCATAGTACTTTCTGCTTCATAAGAAAAATGATCAAATAGGCAAAGAGCCATAAATACTATTATTTTATTTTAATTTTTTACTGTATATGTATGTGTGTACCCATGAAGGGATAGACACTTAAGAGGGCAGAGGAGGACATTAGGTGTCTCCATCATTAGGTGAACTCCATCAACCCTACTATCCCGGCCTGTCCTCCACTGTGAGGACAGGCACACATGGCCACATTTAGCTTTTAGCATGGGTTGTGGGGGATCCCAACCCAGGTTCTCACACTTGCACGAAAAGTGCACTTACTCTCTGAGCCACCCCCCCTTGACCAGATGCAAATGTCACTTAGCCTTATCACAAAGCACTCGGAGGGGGCAGAGGAGGAAGAAAGAAAGCAGCCTGAGAAGGTGGGTTTTGGAGACGGTCCAGGGTCCTGAAGGATTCCTGGCAGAAAGGGTACAGCACCTCTTTGTGCACTGCGTGTCAGCTGTGGGAAGGAATGAAGGATGGCGATGAGGTTAGGATCTCCAGGCTCAAAGCGAGTAGAGCTACCTGTGTATCCTGGAGACACTTCCCTAGACTTGGACACTGATGAGGCTCTCCACATCTTGCAGCCATTAAGAAAATACTCAGTATTGCTGCGTGTCCATCTCCCAGGGCGACATGGTGCTTTCGGCTCTGAAAATGAGAGCCCCTCTGGTGTGCTCACCCTATCTAGAGATGAATCTTGGATATGGGACTTCTGTTGTCAAATGTCAGCTGATTCATGGCGAGGCGCTGGATGTTCAGGGCTTAGTGCAGCTCCTGAACCCACAATTTGACTAGAAGGTGGTCCCTGATGTGGTTTTCAGTAGATGGCTTTTATTTGATTTCTCCTTGGCAAAATAGAAGCGTGGGGGGCTTGGGATGTAGAGTAGAGTACTTACCTGGCCTACACAAAGCCCTGGGTTTGAACCCTGGCACCATATAAGCTAGGTGTGGTAGTGTATGCCTTGAATTCTAGCACTCAGGAGGTGGAGGTAGGAAGGTCAGGGATTTAAAGTTGCCCTTGAAGCCAGGCTTGTTGGTGCGTGCCTTTAATCCCTGCACTCAGAAGGCAGAGGCAGAACCATCTCTGTGAATTCGAGGCCAGCTTGATTTGCAGAGTGAGTTCCAGGACAGTCAGGGCTATGTAGAGAGACCCTTTCTCAAAAAACAAACAAACAAACAAACAAAACAAAACAAAAAAACCAAAAAAAACCCACAAAAAAACAAAAACCAAACAAACAAACAAAATTGTTCTTGGCTATATAGCAAGTATGAGGTCAGCCCGGAATACATGAGACCTTGTCTCAAAAAACAAACAAGCAAACAAGCAAAAACAGACAAAAAGTCCTGCAAGGATTAGGAGGTGAAGTCCGTCATCTAAGGCATGACACAATTCCTGACTTTGACACCCAATGTATGTCTGTGCAGCCTGTTTAAAGTCTATGCCCAGGGCTATGGTGTCCAAATACAGAGGGCCTGTCCAACCTTCAGCCCTTTTAAAGGGTGATGTTTTTCTGCTTCTGGCTCTTTCTGGCTGGACTCTAATCCTGCACCCTGATCATGGATTCAGAGGACTGGAACCTCCCTTTCAGTAGCTTAGTTGGGTCAAGGCTCTCCAGTGACTGTTTGCCTGTATATTACCATAGAAGGAAGGAGGCTAGCCTTCATTTGCGACAAGGAACTCCTATTAATAATTCTGCCCCATCTCAACCTCCCTGAACTTCTGGGTTTATGCATTTGATTGCCTTGAACTTCTGAGACCTACCTGATAATGGTTTGAACCTCATTGGTTATATGAGTTCATGCCCCAATAATATTTTAACCTGCCATGCCTACCTACCTGGTCCCAAAGTTTTGTTTGAGTTTGGCTCCCTAACCCTCATTTTGTCCGAGTAACTCTTCAATTGTTCTCCTCCATATCTTGATTTGACATATAGTTAATCTTTCTTCTATTCCAGGCTATAATGGTGAAGATGGGAATATAGGTTACGAAATGAAGTGGAACTCTGACTTGGTTTTCAAAGGCTGTTAATCCCTTATAATTTATTATATTTGCTTAGGCTATGGAGATGAAGCAGAGGGTAAGAACATTTCCTGCACAAGCATGAGGACCTGAGTTCAAATCCCAGGCACCTGTGTAAAACGTGGGGCATGGCTATATGCACACCGGTGACCCCAGTGCTCTGGGGAGTAGGGACAAGAGGATCACTGGGCTCCAGGTCCTGTTTGAGACCTTGTCCCAAGACAATGAAACAGAAAGTGACCGAGCAGGACACTCAACTTTCTAGTCTCCACACACATGCACGGACATATCACCCCCGCCACACACAAGTATTTCCTGATCTTTGAACCATATGAAAACTCAGACTGAAGCTGGGCGGTGGTGGCGCACACCTTTAATCCCAGCACTCAGGAGGCAGAGGCAGGCGGATCTTTGTGAGTTCGAGGCCAGTCTGGTCTATAAGAGCTAGTTCCAGGA